CATCTGATGTGTCAAGTTATTTGGACACGTCATCATTCTCCAAGTTAATTAACAGGAAATATCACTGGATTTTTAACGGAGGGACTAAATTGGGGTCAAAATGGTAAACAGTAGGAACCAAATCATGGATTTTTTGAGTTGAGGGACTAAGTCGGGGGTCCGTACGATAGTTGAGGGACCAAAATGGGGGTTTAACCAAAAAGAAATCAAAGCCCCTCACATCCAAGAATTGTTTTCAATGTGGAAGATGTATTCTGTGACTATCAAAGAAGTGAAAGTGCAGGAGTATATTTATTACAAAAAGTTTCTCTCACTAGCTTTCTTGCTCTGCCTTCTCTCTTGAATTCATGTCTGATACAGCAAACCAAATTCCTAATCCCCAAGAGGCCGATCTCTTAATTCGCTCCGTCAAACGTATTAAAGGGGATGGTAACCCCCCTATTGCTGAAGAATATCAACTATATGAAGCCCCACCAAAGCAACTATCATATAGAGACATGGTCTCTTGTCTGGAACCTGCTGTAATCCTCTGTGATAGCTCAAATAGAGAGGAAATACTGGACGAAGATTCAGATTATGAAGATGATGGGTCTATCCCTACTATACTCATCTCGAAAGAAGAAAAGAGAAGGGTTCGAATGCCATGGCTCAATTCCATAATTATAAAAACCTTTGGCACAGAAAGAGCTGGCTATAACTTCATCCTTCCCAGGATCAAAGCTCAGTGGAAACTGAGAGGCAAAATGGATTGCATTGATATAGGTTTAGATTTCTTTCTTATTCGTTTCCATGAGGAGGAAGATTTGAACCGTGTTCTTCATGGGGGACCTTGGTTTGTCGATCTCCACTTTCTCACAATTAGAAAGTGGGAGCCTTCATTTGATCCAGCAAAAGCCACCTTCACGACCACAGCTATATAGGCTAGACTCCCGCGCCTTCCTATTGAATACTATGATGTACAAATCCTTGAGCATATTGGCAATATGTTGGGTACTCCGCTTCGGCTAGATGCTCATACTGCCCACCTATCAAGAGGCCAATATGCAAGAATCTGTGTACAGGTCGATCTCGATGAACCTTTGGTACATTTTGTACGTATTGGCAAACATGTCCAAAAGGTTCTTTATGAAGGACCTGCTGCCTTATGCTACTCCTGTGGGTGTGTGGGACATAAAGAGGATAATTGCCCTCTCAAAATCCCACAACCTATGGTTGTTTCTAATCAACATAATATTGAAGCTCAAACTTCACAAGCTTCAGTTGATGGAAACTGTAATGAGCCACCGGAGAACCAAGGGTTTGGACCATGGATGCTGGTGGAGAGGCGAAAGAACAAGAAAAAGGTAAACAATAATCACTTGAGTCACTCAGCGAGTCGACTCACCGGGACAAGAAATGGGTCACGAGTTCCAAACTCAAAAGGGAACGTTATTTCTGACATTGCTATTAATGCGGTGACTGTTAACTCCAACGGTTCAAATGCAGCCATTCAACTTTCTAATTCAAATTCTAAAGCTCATAATTCGAGCTCCTCTCCTTTGGCCCAAGATGGGGATGTCAACAACACACCAGCCCATCGAAATACCGGCCAGGCCAATCAGGTAACTATGGGTTCAATTATCACTTCACCTAGCTCTAATGGACCCAATGTTTCCTTGCAGGTCCGCCCAAAGACAATAGCTGATAAAGCTACTGTTGCAGATAAGATTTCATTGTCACCATTTGTGGCACGTGGAAAGGTTTCATCCTTTAAAAAATCTGGTTCCCAACCAAAAATCTCACAAAATGTCCGGAATCATCCTCTCACGAAATTAGCCCCCTCCTGTGGAACTTCGGATCATGGATCCAATCACCTTCACCAAGCTAAGTCACTTGTGGGATGTACTGCTAATCAACAGGAACAATCAAGCAATCCCAATAGAGAGGGCGTTGTCATTAGTCCTCAACAAGAATCCGGAGTCGATCGAGGGATGGACATTGGAAATGATTCAGAACTGCTGGCTGAATCCCATTCTTACAATGAAAGGAGTAGATCCCACTCCTTTTCTTCCCCCACCAATGGAAGGGAGTACTCTACCTCTGGAACACCTGTCTCCAGACTCATGCATCCTTCGGAAGGTTGTCTGGTCACCACTGGCGGAGATAATGAGATGGGACGATTGGTCAGAGCCGATAGCTCCCAAGCGATTCACGTTGCTGGTAGAACAACCTTACCTTTGTCTATTCAGGATGATAGGATGCATGAAGACAGTGCATCTGGTGGTCACGAAGGAGGAAGCGCAGAACTCTATGCTCCAGTACCAGCAGATTGTGCTGCCTTACTACTTCCCAGGAGTCAACATGATGGTCCTGAGCAAGGAAGGTCAGCCGAAGTGGCTCCAGGATCTTGCCAGGTGGGTTATGACCACCTTTAGTAGACGTACCTGGACCATGAAGATCATGTCATGGAACTGCTGTGGGGCAGCTAATCAAGAGTTTAAGCGGAATGCGATGAATATCATTAATCAGTATAATCCAAGTATCCTTGTTATTATGGAAATGAAGTTGGCAGGAGAAAGAGCTAAAAAAGCTGCTGAAGCTCTGAGATTTCCTAAAAAGGTCATAGTCGACTCAAATGGCTTTGCTGGGGGTATATGGCTATTGTGGGATGACACGAAGTACACTATAAACATCCTTAATGTAGGACCGCAAGCCATCCACGCCAGTGTCTAGGTAAAATCCCATCCTTCCTTTTCTAATTTTTATTGGTTTTTATCTGTTGTCTATGGTCGTCCTCAGTTTGAGATTAGGTCTCTCCTTTGGGAAAACTTAAAACAGTTTTCCCAATCTATCAATGGTCCATGGGTAGTTATTGGG